GTATAATTAAATAAATTAAATATATTTAAAGAAAAGATCTTTTTATAATATCAATACTATTACTTAATATTATAGAAATATATAATAATATATATTATAAATATCTATTCTATAATCTATATAGAAAGTAATTAGGATATTATGTTTTATAGATTTAGATCTTTCTAAGTAAATGAAGTATATATATCTATATATTAAAAAATATATTAAAATATATCTTTATATTAATTAATATTCTATAAAGATTTTTATTCTTTTTAATCCTTTATCTAATCTATAATATAGATCTTTTAATTAATAATATTAATAAAGTTAAAAATACTATTATAAGTAACTAAATAGATAATATTATTTTTTTAATTATAGAAGTCTTAAAAAAATATAATATTATTAAACTATAAATAGTTTATATTAAAATAGATTATTAAATCAAATATTATATTTCTATCTTTGATATTAAGAAATATAAGCTTATTCACTTTATTAATCTTTATAGCTTTATTAATTTTAATTAAATAATGTTTCAACTCTTAGATAATATAAAAATTAAATTAATATAAGATATTAAATACTATCTAAATATTTAGTTAGATCTTAATCTTATTTTTAAATAATATTACATTAAAATAGTAATTAAAGCTAATATAAATTTATAAATACTATAAGAACTAATAGACTCTATATAAAAAATGATATTCTTTATAATATATTAGATCTATTAAGTAATTATTATTTTTTAAATATTCTATAAGATAGTAATCTAATTCTAATTAAAAATATTTATAAAGAAATAGATAATTAAAATAATTTATAACTTTATCTTTATTTAGAAATATATAATATATTTAATTAATAATATCTTTTAAATAATAATAATTAAAGCTTTTAATATTAAATTATATCTTTTATCTATTTAACTTTAGATAGAATAATTTATTAAAAAAATAATTCTATAAATTTAAATTAAATTTATTTATATTATCTTTTATATCTTATTTTAATTTTATTTTAATAAAAATTTAAATTTAATAAATATATATCTTTTAAGATATAAATCTAAAAAAAGAATAGATATTTATAAGTTTCTTTAAAAGTAATAAGAGATAAATAAAAAAGTTAATAAATATATATTTAAATATTTTAATAAATATTTTTAAAGATAGTGTTATTTAATATATATAAAGAAATAATTAATATATATAATAAATAATAAAGTAAAGAAATCTTTTTAATAGTATTATATTTAAATAATAGTAGCTATTAAGATTATATTAGATTAGTAATAGTTTGCTTTAAAGTAAATTAATAATATATAATATATTTAAATATTAAAAGCATATTAACTATATATATAATAAAGATTTATAATATTGAATTTAGTCTTTATATAGTGATATAACTTAGAGAAATTAATAAAAATAAGAAATAATAGAAATATATTAAATAAAAGATTATAATCTACTTTAATAATTAATTAGCTTTAAAAATGTTTATTAATCTTAATATAATCTTTAAATAAGTTTTTATTAAAGTGTATTAAGATTTATTAAATTAATATATAGAATAAGATATTTTAATTATCTTTTAATGAATCTTTAGGTATAAAGATATTATTAATAATAAGATAATAGATTAAATAGTTAAGTATATTATATAATAGAGTATTAAATAAATATTAATTAATTTTATTTATTAAATTCTAATTAATTTAATAAATAAATAATATTGATTAATTTTAATAGTTAAATAATATATCTAATAATTAATAAAAAACATCTAAAGATAAGAATAAAAAAAGATAAGATTAAAATATCTATCTAAAGAGTATTTAAAATCTTTATAAAAAAGATTTTATATTATTAAAGTAGTTTATAAAAAGTAATTATCTTAATATTAATTTAATTATATATTAAATATATTAGTCTGAATTATTATCTTTAATAAATTAATTATTAAAACTTATTTTAATATCTTTATAGCTATAAAAATTAAATTCTAAAGTATATTATATTAATCTATTATTAGTATTTCTAATAATAATAAAAATTATAGAAGTGTATTAAATATTAAATCTAAATATTAATTTAGTTCAAATTTAATATATTTTTTAATAATAAAAAAACTATAGCTACTATAATATAATTTATAATTAATATAGAAGTCTTAGATTAATTCTAAATAATTAATTTTAAAATATTAGATATATAAGTAATATATAAAATAGTTTAAAATATATAATTTAAGGCTTCTAATAAGAATACTAAATATAGTTCTATCTATAGAAATGAATAAAATAAATATTAATATATAAACTTTATTTAAAATTAATAAGAATTAATTATAATATAAATATTCTATTTATAGATAAAAATCAAGAAAATAAGATAGAGAAATAAAATGTTATAAGAATAGTTTAGAGAATATATTAATATATTAAATGTTAAGTTAGGAATAATAGAGACCTAGTTAAATAAATAAAAGAAAGTAAAATAGATAGTAATAAGTTTATATATAGTAAAAGAGTGAAATAAATAATAATAGATTAATAAATAATAAAATTATAAATAAATATTAAAGAGTGTAATATAAGGGAAAAATAAAGAGAATAATAAAGAATTAAAAATTATATTATTTATATTATTAATTTTTAGTATATACTAGCTATTTATAGATTAATTTAATTTTCTTTCTATAGTGTATTTTTTAGATTATATTATAGTGCAGTATAAATACTATATTTGGTCTTTGAGACTCTGTAGGCTAGGGCCCAATCTTGCATAGCAGTAATAGTATGGAAGCTAGCTAGAACAGATCAATGAGAACTACTACTACTACTACTACTACTATAATATTTATTATTATCTATTTATTTTTTTAGCATATTTTAATAATTAAATAAAAAATTATAATTTAAATAATTAATTCTAATTTTTATATTATTTATCTATCTAATTCATTAAAATTTAGAGAGATTTTAATATATTTTTAAGAATAAAATCTAACTATAATTAAAAATTCTTTGATATAATTCAATTATTTAAATAAAAATTAGATTAGATTTAAAATAATCTAATTATAATTAGTAATTCTTTTTTAATATAATTTAATTTTAGTTTAAAGAGCTAGAACTATTCAATTTTTGGTTTTAATTTTAATATTAGGGACCAAACTGAACTAACTCACTTTTAGGTTTGGTTCAGAAACTCAGGACCAGAACTGAACCAAATGACAGCCTATTATTTAGTGATATAAAAATATATACAAAGTTTTCAGCTAAGACTGTATTAAAGATATTTTAAACACTTTATAATCAAGATCTATAGCTAACAGTCTTATACTTTTTCTTCTTTTTATTAGTAGAGAGGCCCACTGTCCATTAGCCTTGCTGCCAGCCACACTAGGCTTAGATGCATATATGAATACTACTACTACTACTACTACTACTACTACTACTACTACTACTACTACTACTACTATATAGATATTATATATAAAGTCTTTAATTAGATATTAAATTTAAATATATTTATATCTTTAATCCTTTATATATATTTTATTTTAAATTTAAGTAATAAATTATTATATTTATTTAATAATATTTATTAGTTTCTTTATATTTATAAATTATTTATATATATATTATAATATATATAATATATTTAACTTTTTAGTTTTAAAAGATATTATTTCTTTATTTTAAATTATTATTTTATTTAAATCATATAAATTTATATTTAATTGATAGTATTTAGAATTGATTTATATTGAACTAATTCTTAGCCAAATCCGGCTATGTTTGGACGTGGAATTTCAAGAATGATTCCGCAAGAAAGAGTTGTTTTGGGTCGACCTTTGTATCGTCTATTTTTTTTTATATTCTTTATTATATATTTAAATATAGATACTTATATAATATATAATCTTATATAAGTAATAAATAGACTGTGTTCAGTTATAGTAATTGATTAACTGTAAAATTAATTATTTTAACAGACATTTGCTCTAAAATAGTATGAGTCGTCCTAATCTGTCCTTAGCCTTGCATATGTTGGTTTCGTAACATAAGGACCGCCTGCCTTAAAGTAGCTTAAGGCGTCCTAATCTATCCTTAGCTTTGCATATGTTGGTTTCGTAACACTTTGCCGGGTGGGGCTTTCCTATCTTAGCTGCCGCTGCTTTTACGTGGGCGCTCAGAGTCAGGCTCACTGAGTAAATTTCAGTCCGGGCTCAGACTCAGTGAGCTGCTCATTTATCCTTTATTGATTCTGCCACCTCTCACCGCCCTTGATTAGAACGTGGTTTGCATTGTTTGACTAGATGCCCCAGGCATCAACCCTACAGATTGCCTCCCTTCCTTCTTTTCTTTCTTTCCCCACGTTTAGTATTTTAGTTGAATGCACTCTTTTCGTCAAAACTTGGCTCGTAGCATAAATTACGGATCATAACAACCCCCCTAATAATTTACTAACTCCCCTGATCCTTATAGACTGAGATAATTAAGGTGATACGGTTTATCCTAAACCCTAAATGGATGCCTTAGGCTACCGGTCGCACCCTATTCAAACATCTCTAATTTTTAATCGCTATTTGCTCTATAACTAGAAGGCTATATATACTCCGAAGTGAATAGGGGATATTTAACGTCGTCTATTAGAACTTTCTAAATTTTTAGACTGATCAGAGGCCAACAGACCTCTCCAGTCAGGGTAGGAAATTAATTCCCAGTCAGCCCCGCCCCGCTTCTTTTCTCTCATAGTAAAATAGAAGCCCTAATTCCTAGTCAGCCCTGACTGGGCCGCCTCCCGTGGGATAGAACCCATTGCAAATATACAATCACATTGCCTCCCTACAAGGGAGCGCGGATGGGCTCTATATGACGCTACAGTCTAATAGCGCAGCAACAGGTGATCCGTCACGGCCAAACTATAAACGTTCCTGATCCCTCTTGACTGGGTGAGGTCACCAATAAATCAACTTGATTTTCTCATTGTATATATAGCCTTATGTATTCCTTTTGAATAACAACATATATGAATGTGGAACAACCCAAACATAAGAATACTGAAAAAGAACCACATTCATACTGCTCAGAGGCGGATATGACGAAGAGAAATAAGATTTAATAGCCGAAAACAAAAGCACGTAGTACCGAAAGACCAGGAAAACACGTGTTTGAAGACATCTACCTCTAATCTAGCTATTTTCTAGCTTCACTGTATCTGGGATCTGTACTGGTTGCCTTGCCAGATTTGGAGCCATGTCAGGCGGCAGCTTCTCAAGTGCACTTGTGAGGAGACCAGCCATAGTAGCCCCGCCTAGGATTCTAAACACTGGCATGTCTATGTCGAGTTCCGCGAAGAACCAACTCCGAAGTGCAACGGCGACCAGGGAGTCAATGCCCAGCTCATAAGCACCAAGATGGACCAATTGTTCTCTTCCAGACTCTCCATCATCAAGCTGGAGCATCGTAGCAAGTTTGGAGGTGAATGCGTCTATATACCAGATTAGTACGTCTTATTTTTCAACCATATTGTCCACTGTAACGGACCTTTGAGAATATCGTGAGCCTCCTCAGTTGACGTGGCTTCCTGCAACTTATCCCTCGTAGAAATGGTCGCATTCCCTACACCATTGTACACTTCCACTCTCTGCTGCCGCTTCGTATAATGCCCAAATTTTGGATTCTCAAGCCACTGGGACTGGCTTCCAGGCTTCATTTCAACCTCACGCTCACCAACAATAACCTCAACTCCAGCTGTAGACTCTGGTATACCAGCCAGAATAGCCTCGGCAAACGCAACATGGATATCCCGATCGGAAATAGGTTGATTCCCCACCTTCTCTTGCCATTCTACTGCCGCGCGACTCGCCTTGTGAGCTAGGTAGCCACTTCCAATTAAAGTCCCCATATATAATATCGATGCAGCCTGGCCGCGCTGGCGTCTTTGTTCCGCCAAAGCCGTCATGAACAAATTTGCCGCCGTGTACACAGACTGGCCATGATTTCCCCAAACGGCCATGAGGCTGGAAAGGAGAATAAAGAAGTCGAGATTCTGATCACGGAATATTTCATCCAGAAACCTACTACCGTCAACTTTGGGCTTCATCTGTTCCTCCACGAGCTCCATGGTAAGGTTAGCCACCACGGTGTCGATGAGCACCATGGCACCATGGACAACTCCCTTGATCTCGGGAAGGGTACGGGAAATCTCTTGACATAGAGTTTCTAGTGCGGGACGGCAGGTAATGTCATTGGCGTAGACTCTGACAGTCGCCCTCATCGCCCTCATGCGAGCCAGCCAGGTTGGATCAATTTTGGGGTTCCGAGAGGTGAGCACGATGTACCTAGCTCCGTGTTGCACCATCCATTGCGCAAGCGATTGGGCAAGATCGCTAGTGAGTCCGAAAAGGATATAGGTTTTGTCAGGGGCAAAGATTATTGCGTTGTCAATGCGGTCCACCTTAACGGGGATTTTCGGAGTTGAAACCCAGTCAATGACTGTTGTCGGGGGATAGGCTGCAGCTGAGGTTTCGGGCAGCTGGGAGAGAGTCACGGATCTGACAGGCGGAGCTCTAAGCAATGTGGCCGAGGTAGCTCGAAGAGTGACTATTTGCAATAGGTTCGCTAATTCCAGCTCAGTACCATCCTGCAACGTAGCATTTACGTCAAAAATATGATTAGCTGATTTCAGGAATCTGCAGGTCGTGGGCATCACAGCGGTGATGCGATCAAACAGATCAGACGAATCATCCGGGCTTGTAAAATCAACAACACACGATGCCTCGGATGGTAAATCCCGTCGAAGGTCTCTATCGCAAATGAACGGATGTAGATGTAGCCATTCGCCGTCGGTTGGTCGGACAGATGAGGTGAAAGTGAGGCGCATTCCTAGATTGGAGGCAGATTGGGAGCAAGCCACGGCCAAAGCTGGTTCGGGTTCATGGAGGATAGCAAGCTTGCCATTATTCCTCGACAGAATATGGATGATGAATTCGCCAATCATCAACAAGAGCAGACTGCCTTCTGTGCCAGAGGCGACATTGATTGGACAGTATAATTTTGGATGAACATGAACCAACGAGGCTTGTTTGTCTGCAAGGGCAATAACCTTCATGTTACTGCTTTCCAAAGTGCCAATGACTAGGAAAAAAGATCCAGTGGGCAGTCTGATTGACATCAAGGTGGAATGACTAACTTGAATGCAGACTAGGTTGACCGATCTTGGTTGATTCAGGTGGTGTTGCCCTAGTATCTCCACTAGGCTGTATCCCGACGTAGAGCTTCTCAGCGCAATCGGTGTCGACACTGATCTTTGACAGATGATGGGGTTGAATGGAAGAGTTATACCGGTCGTTCGCTGTTTGCATATGGCGAAGCCGTGGAATGACAGCATTACCATTCTGGTGGGACATCTCCGGTTCGATGGAGTAGAGCAAAGGCACTTCCGGATTCGCTGCCCACTCATTCATAATCCGTAATCTGAGAAATGCAGTTGCGAGAGCTTCGGAATTAGGAGCCTTAGCAGGCTCTAGGTCCCAATATTGAAGCCGGAGATGGGACATCTCATGAACAAGAGTTCGACCGAAGCCAACTGACATGTTAGAGTACGGACTCGCTGCTCGGCAGCCCTGGGTTACCCATAGAGCAATTGAAGTCTTCTCAAAGAGGCCTTTGATGGATTGGACCTTGGCGTCTGATAAAGATTGGAATATAGGCGTATCCAGGTCGGTAATGCTGAGTAAATGTCTTCGAGATGTCAAGTCATGCTGGGCGAGTTCTTCGACTGAGGTACAATGTACCACAGAGTCATACCATGGGTTTAAAAGGGCAATCAGTGAGAGGGCAAGCGACTTAAGCTGGCCACTAACCCCACCCAGAATGATAAGGGTGTCATTCAGCATTTTCGGAGATGATTCAAGAGGGTGTCTGAGAGTAGCAACACGATCGTCGAGCGCTTGAGCAGCAATTACGTAGCTAGGGTTGACCAAGAGATTCACAGTCGGTGTCACAGTATCGACCCCCGTGAAGCCCGCAGTCTTCAGAATTGGATCCCACTCCTGGGAGGTGATACAGGGCGACAATAATCGATCGTCATTGACTCCAAGCCACCATCCAGGCAATGCACCGAAGACGAACCCTAACCTTAGGGAGCCTTCTTCAATCCTAGTTGGCTCTAGCATGAGGAGATACCCCCCGGGCTTTAACAAACGGTGGACATTCTCCAAGGTGTTGTCCAAGGATGCGGTAGCATGGAGTACGGCACCCGCTACCACCAGGTCGTATGAGTGGGGTGTAAAACCCTGACTCTCGATATCCTTCTCAATATCCAAAGATTGGAAAGTTAGCCTCGAGCTATGGTTTGGCCACTTGGCGAACTTTTGTTGTGCTTGCTCAAAAAAACCCGAACTGATATCGGTGTATGTATAGGAATGGAAAGCATCCACCCTGTCAAAGATATGTGTTGTCATACCGCCTGTCCCAGCCCCAATCTCAAGAATATTCATGTTGGGATGTCGATGCACAATTTGTTGCACCATGTTGGCCATGTAGCCAGATGAGTCCATCATACCGAGTGGCGAGCTGTAGAAATTGTCTAGCAACCCGTCCTCCATCATGTGCTCCAGCATGCTGGTCTCTCCGTGGACAGCACCCGGTAGATTCTCTCCGACCACTTCGGCCATACGTATGACATTATCATCCTTGAAATTCTCCATCAAACTTTGGATGTTCTCTTTTGTATAGTACAGCCATTCCTTGCTGGAGAATGGGCGTGTGCCATCGGCTACACCAGAAATGACGTAGTCCGCGAAATTCAATAGCCGCTGGTGATACCAGGTGGCTTTCTCTCTTTGCTCTGCTGAGATCACCTTTGTTAGGTTCAAAAGGTAGTATACTGCCATCTTTTCCACCAAAAGTGCCAATTCCAACTGCCGAGGGCTAGGGAGGCTACCGGCAGCAGCAATTTCGCCGTTTGGGGAAGCCAAATTCCACTCAATTGTTGAAAATATATGCCGATAGCTTTCGGTCGCTGTAGATGCCAATGGAGATATCTCCAGCCCTTCAATCTGAATCAATGCATGCTGCCTGGTGTTCTCCGTGGCAAAAAAATCCACATCAGCATGGAGCTTTGGTGTAAGTCCCTCAGACAAAGCAGTATCAAAGGACACAATGCTTCCATCAGCAAGCTTCTCTAGGCATGCGGAGTGGTTGACGCGGATGCGATGAATTCGTTTGGGAACGTGTAAACCACGAATGGTACCATCACCCGGATGACACATAGCGAGGAAACTGGACTGGAAGCCGCAATCAAGCAGGCCAGGATGTACGAGCAGGCGGCTTCCGTGCCCACTTTTGTCTCTGGGGGGATTATCGATCAATCCAGTAGCAGCGCCGTAAGAACGTCGAAGACTAAACAAACCACGGAATAGTCCAGTGTAGCCGAGCCCGACTTTTGCGAGAAAATTGTAGAAGACATCAGTCGGCACATCAAGCAGGTTTGGCGCTGGTACAGAGCGCATTGGCAGAGTGGTGGGTGAAGGCGAGCCCAATAACACCCGTACGCGACCTCCAACGGTAAGTGTAAGCGTATCCGACTCAGGACTCTGGGACGAATGCAAGCTATAAGTCGCGGAGATGGCTGTCGTGGTTTTCAGTACATTGGACAAGACAATCAGGATCTCAACAGAGGACTCCTCGTCATCAAAAGTGATCGGCTGGTAGATCTCGAGGTCCTGGACTTCAATCACTATTATTTCCTGGTCTTGGGAGAGTATTTGTGCGGCTTCAATGGCAGTGCTTGCATACGCTGCAGCTGGAAACAAGATTTGGCCTTGTAACTGATGGCCATACAACCAGAGGAGCTCTTTCGGCTTTAGAATATTACGCCATCGCAACTCTTCAGCACTGTCAAATTCCCGAGTTCCTAAGAGCTCATGAATGGGCTCCGAGCGGATGCGGTGCATCCTTGACATTCGGGTTTCAAACCAGAACTTACGATCGTGATCCCACGGATAGCTCGGAAGGTTCTTGAGCAGCGCGGGCCTTTGTAATTTGGGACCGAACAAGAGAGCTTCGTAGCCAGAAAAGTCTACTGCCTGGTGACCATGGTGCATCCACACAAATCCAAGGGCATCTGAGATGGCCTCCAGGTCGTTGGTACCGCGTCTAAGGAGTCCCGAATATGGAAGCTGTTTACCCAGAGCATCCTGGAAAGTTTGCTGAGCTGGCCCTTGCAAGGCTGGATGGGGGCCAACCTCGATGACCAGATCGAAAGATCCTTCATCTGCTAGTGCACGCTCCAGGGCCTCTCGGAAAAGCACAGGGTAGACCATATTATCCCTCCAATAGGAGGCGTCGAGGCCCGAGGCGTCTTCAATAGGATTTCCATTTTGCACCGAAGAAAACCACCGACAGCTGTATCCTGGAGAGGGCTTAATATCACATTCCTGCAAAGATTTCATGTATGGCTCGGAACAGGCAGTCATGTGGTGAGAATGATACGCAGTGTCGACCTTCAGTATTCTAGCAAACTTCTTCTCGTCTTCAAAAATCGCCTTGGTCGCCTCAATAGCGTCTGCGTCTCCTGACAAGGTCACGCTGGCGGACGAGTTGCTTGCTGCAACACAAAGACGGCCTTCGTAATCTTCTAATAGACACATCTCCTCCGCATCTTCAAAAGTGGTGCCTACAGCCATCATTGCACCAGGCCTCCCATTCGAGGCTCCGGCGAGCTTAGCGTGAAATCCTCTGTAATAGGCAATCTTGATTGCATCCTCTGCCGAGAGAAAGCCTGCTGCATATGCTGCCCCTATTTCGCCTTTGCTTTATGTCAGTGGTATTTGGAATAAAGGGGCGGCAGCCGTACCCGAAGAATGGCCTACTACAGCATGAAACGGTATCCCAGCGCTCCGGAGAAGGTCGACCAGAATAACCTGAACAACTGTGCAGACTGGCTGAGACTTTTCGGCCAGATTCAATTGACTTTTCTCAGCAGTAGCTAAAATTGCGTCTGTAATTGACCAATTGGGACGATCTCCGTCCGGAAGAGAGGCGAGAATTTGTTCAAAGCTCTCAATCCGATCTTTAACGAATTCCGAAGACAAAATTAGATCTTTAGCCATCCCAGCCCACTGCGCTCCTTGACCAGTGAATATGGCTAGAATTCGAGGTGGACTTTTCGAAGAACGGACGCCTACTCCATTTCCATTGACGTCTTTCATGGTAAAGTTCTTTTGGTCTAACTTTAGGCAAAGCGATTCAATCGATGTGGCAGAGAACGCTGCTTTGACTGCCAAACTGGACTTCCGGGAATGAAGAGTATAGCTCAGGTTGCGGAGATGAGTTGAAGAACCATTCTGGGAACGAAGCCAGGTGGAATAAGAAGATATAAGCGCAGATAGCGACCGCTCCGAGGCAGCGGAGAAAGTGAAAGGAGTGGCTACCGGGGAAGATATGCCCGTTGCTAGCACTGACTCGTAACTTTCTAAAATGGCATGGGCATTTGTGCCTCCAAAGCCAAAACTATTAACACTTGCCCGGCGAGGTTGGACTGGGTCAGCAGACGGCCAAGGAACAGGTTCCATGGGAATTTCAAGATGATCCGAGAATGGCTTGACATTTGGATGCAGCTCAGTCAAAAGCATGTTTGGAGGGATGATACCGTGTTGGAGAGCAAGTGTAGATTTGATAATTCCAGCAATCCCAGCTGTCCCCTCTGTGTGGCCACATACTGTTTTGATGGAGCCAACAAATAGCTTCTCGTCATCAGCGGAGGTGGCGGAAAAGAAGGACTTATGGATGGCTTCGGCCTCGATAGGATCTCCAGTAGGTGTGCCAGTACCGTGAGCTTCGAAGAATTGACAGCGGTCCGTTTGGCTGAGGGGGTCCAATCCAGCTTTCCGATATGTTTCCTGGATCAAAGAAATTTGAGCTTGGGCGTTGGGAACAGTGATGCCATTTGTTCGTCCATCCTGATTCACTCCGGTTTCCCGCACAATACATTCGATATTGTCACCATCCTCTATGGCCGCATCTAGTCTTTTCAGGACGATAGCAGCAACTCCATCTCCTCTTGCATAGCCATCCGCATCTTTGTCCCACATCCGTGAGCGGCTGTGAGGGGACAACATATTTAGCTTGCTCTCTGCAATGTATTGCTCCGGTGCAATGATGAGATTCGCCCCTGCTGCAATGGCCACTCGGCAATCTCCAGCCCTCAGGGATCTGACGGCTTCATGAACCGCTACTAGACTGGAAGAACATGCAGTATCGATCGTGATAGACGGGCCATGCCAGTTGAAGAAGTAAGAGATTCGATTAGACACAATACTCCGCGCCGTACCGGTTGCAAGGTAGGTGGGTACTGTGTTTGGATCTCTTCGTAAATGAAGACTGTAATCTTCACACATCAAACCGACATAGACCGCAGTGTCTGTTCCATCCATCTGCTCCAGACGCAAACCTGCTGAGTCGATCGCTTCATACACTGTCTCCAGCAGCAGGCGCTGCTGCGGGTCAACTGAATGAGCCTCTATTGGCTTGATGTTGAAGAACTGAGCGTCGAAGCAACGCAAGTCTTCAGAGAGGAGATATGATTGCTTAACATTTCCTGTGGCATGATGCTGACCATCCACATGATAGAACCCTTCCGGGTTGAAACGATCAATAGGAATGATTGAAAGCACGTCTCGAGGGTTTTTCAAGAGATCCCATAGCTTAGATGGAGAAGTCGACTCTCCTGGAAATCTGCAACCAGTACCAATTATCGCAATAGGCTCGTTCTTAATGGGCATCATTGTTTAGGATATTGGTTATTTCGATCGATGTTTAATCTGACGCTGAAATCGAGCTTTGGAAGAGTATGTAATTCTTAAATATATCCAAGTGGCGACAAGCGTGATGCGCCATTTCACCAGCTCTGCTGATAACGCGCTTTCCGCCACAAAATATGATACTAATTCCCATTGTTGATCCATCGCGCATATGCAACGGGATTTGAAGAAGCAAACGATAACGAGCCGGATATGTACTTCTGCGTGCTAGCTTCTGCCCAACGACCATGCAGGCGATTCTGCCTAACTGAAGCAATGGCTCATAAGCCTTATTCTGTAATTTGAGTCTTCTCGGGCAGGAAACTACGGCCGGGGAGGATGCAGAATCAGCCTTTCTTTTATCCTCGAGTCTCAGAGTCCCTTGAAGTCCAAACCCTAAAGAACTCAGAAAATACAATATGAAATGCTATGCTCTATCTGTTAACCTCTCCCATACACCCTCTATTAACTCTTGTTTGCCCTCTCGTTGCCTTGTTATAAGCGATAAACGACCCTCTCTTAGGTTCATGGGGTTTGCCACGTAGAGGAGAACAGGTGACCTGTGGTTCGGATATTATCTTGTCCTAGACTATCTACCTATATTCAATTTTGTTTCCCTGATTGATGTAAATTGCTCATTCCATGAAGATAGTATTCTACTAAGTTTGCGCGATCCCCACCGAATTTGGCCCGTTTTGGTAATTTGATGCTCGAATGTTGCACAGCAGGTTTCATCGCTCAATATCGATTAATTGGAGCCAAATGAGGATGGGCTTGCATAAAGCGCCTCATGGCTTCCCTCTCGATTCTTATATTGGTTCTTAGTTCGCTGCTGCGACAAGAAAATATAAAAGAATGACGTCAGTTCGGAGGTAACGCACTTACACACCGCTGCATCTACATGATGAAGGTAGCACAAGGCAAAAAAGGCCCACCCACATTCTTAGAACATAGACCAGTGCCTGTCCTTTGCGTAGCTTATCGTTGCTAATATTATTCAATTCCCTGCAAAGATACCAAGAATGTCGTCATTCACAGCTGGGAGTAGCGAGTGATGTAACTTTAACTTTCGCAGGGTGACTATCGTATGCAGATAGTGAGGGCCGAAAGGGAAGAAAGCGTCAATCGGAATTATATGGAATTGTAACAGAAGTTACGATATTGTATGTATGGTAATTCCGTAGAGATAGGCTCAGGTTTCTGTAAATCATGTATTTGCTGGCAGATCCAATCCACGTAGGGTCTGACGTTATAACTGAAAATAAGTCTGTCTAAACGTGCCTCGGAAGCTACAGTCGCCTTCAAAAGAAGCTTTCAATTCTAATTTACTGCAGCCAATAAATAAAGTGAGGATGGAGGCATTCTTTGGGACTTCAGTGTCTCGGCTCAGAGCTGTGGCTACTTTCACTTATAAGATGATTGATAACATTTTCATTTCCGCCGATGTGTTCATCAGTACGGGTAAATCTACGGCCAACCCTTGCCCTATCATGCTCTACATCCATGCTGGTGGCTGGACCGGCGGTAGCCGTGCCAACTTCAGCACCCCTCTCTTTATGGAATTTCTGAAACGTGGATTTGTGGTTGTATCGATTGATTACCGACTTCTTCCTGAAACAAAATTCATTAATGGTCAACTGGATGATATCCGGGACGTGGAGAGCTGGCTTAGAGACTCCTTGCCGGTAGAGATGGACAAGTTGGGCCATCCTGTTAATTCTGAGAAAATTATCGTCTCCGGTGCATCTGCTGGTGCCCACCTTGCACTCATGACGGTTCGGTTATAAACTCACCCTCATTTGGATATAACCGTCTAATCCGCAGTTTTCTCTAGCCGAAGCTTTGGAAAAGACCCCCTACTGCCATCCTATCAATCTCCGGCCCTACCAATATGCATTGCCTTTCCTTCAAGGGAGACGAACTATTTCAGAATTTTGAGCTTCCTGAATTGTCATCTGAGCATATCAAATTGGCTACGGGTGAAGTCCCGCCAACCCAATTCTCCAAGTCACAGGTTGCTTCTGGGCCTTTGCACTATAGAGTTCTTTTACTTATGAAGATTTTCAAGGAGGAAATAGTGGCGGAGTATCTCCTTCGTGGAATTGTGAATGGAGGGCTGCCAGTGAAAGGCTGCGTTACTAGCCACGAGATTGATGAAATTAGTATGATAACCGAGCGCTTTGTGAACATCCCAGGTTAACTTTCACTCTAGGTCCTTTCATCCTTTGCAAAAACTCGCTATGGGCACCAACATACCAGATCATAGGAGCAAATGATGGGATTTTCGATCTGGAACATCTCAAGATCTTTGATTCCGAGATGAAAAACCAAGGCACCCCTTGCGAGACCATCATTTTGCCTGGGGTTAGGCATGGATTTGAGACAGCCGCTAAATTAGGTAGCGAAACTCACAAATCTTTCATCGTTCCTGCAGTCAAATGGGTGGTTGGATTCTGCGGCTAGTCATATATTCAATGTAACTTAATGAACTGAACGTTATGTTTTCCTTGGCTGTCTCCATAGGATTTGCGGATATGATTTGAGACAGTTCACCATTCCAGTGCCTTCTGCTTGTCTAGGTTCAAAACCTGCCTATATTTTTGACGAATAATTCCTATCGTAGCATATAATACTGGAGGCCGTGATCAATTGATGATTTATTTCATACCCATTCACTCAATTCACCTCGTCCTTGCGTAGTCTGATATTGACATCAGGGCAGCTTATCTTTAATTTCGAGCATTCTGGACGCAGTGCTTCGTTTATAATACCTGACTTCAACGTTGTTTGAAGCCATTATTTTATGATCTAGATACGTAGAATGGTGATTTGACTTCCGCAGTTGAAACTGCAGAGGTCGATACTATGTTTTATCATCACATCGCCACCCATTTATACCCCGATGTCGATTCTCTTCCACCGTAAGGTTGCAGACTGGAACTCTGCCTTGTCTTTCGGTTAGCAGCGCCTCTTAAATAGCGTAATTATGCAGATATATCCTATTAGGACTCAATTCAAGAAGTAAGAAATTCAGGGATATCTCACCATTCCAGATATGGCCGTGTCTGTGCTAAGTTGCAGAAAGTCCCCCTCAAGGTCGGCAGTTCGCTCCTGGACATCTCCTTGCCCATTTGGAAAGTTACAAAGCTCAACAAAATGCATTAAATGCAGTCTTCCCTTATGCTCCTTGATATCAAACCGACCAGAGTATGCAATAAATCCCCTAATAAATGTCCTCACCTCTGCTTCTTCTGAAACACTGCCAGGGACTGCAATAGCAGATCTGGGGGCGCTGGATTGTGATATTTGAACCGACATATAGCCATCTGGCGTGTACAGCAAAATGCCTCGTGTGCCTGTATCATCAGAATAAGAGACCAAATCATTGGTGGCATTCTCTATTCTAAAATCGATGTCCACTAGAGACCATGCACCGATGAGTCTTTCTCTCAGATCAGATGCGGAGAGCATGTCGTAAGATTCCCCGGTTGCCACGTGGATTGTATTAAGGTATAATAACAATTGGATACGAAGGATAATATAATAAGGTACCGAACACTCGAATAATCTCCGATAATGAGGATGGCCACATTGCAACTTTCAGGGCGACTGGTGATTACTTAAATGGTTTTCCATCCAAAGAGGCCAATTCCCCCGGTCGAAAACAAGTATTCCGAGTCTCTCCTGAACAACTGTTGGAAGTATCATACGGTAAAGATAGTGGTAATATTTTGATTGGAGATGAAGAATGTTCCATTCCTGTCACAAATGACGTATGTGTCAGTTTGCCGCGATAATATTCCGTGATATTCTTCGCATACTATATAGTCTTATGCATGCGCTGGCATTGCATATGGAGTGACATCGAACTTAGAAGAATTGGGCCCCCAAGAACCATAACCTGATGCGCACGGCGACCATCACCTCTTAATTAGGAATCCGAATCCAGTTCTGTCAAATTTACAAGGATTAGACTCCCCCCTTTTCCTCCCAAGCATTACCGTCAGAGATGCTTTTCAAAAAGAAAATGTTTTTAGCGGCTGAGGCATGACTTCATAGAAACATAAACGAATGATCAAGGCCGAGTGTTAAATGCATTTCTATGAAACAGGATTATCCTCAAGCTCTCCTTGTATTCTCGATATTTTCTACTATTACATGATTAGTAGTGAACATGGCGCTCCCCGAGAACCACATCAAAGTCCCATCTGTACAGATATCCATTCGTCAAACCGAGGCATGGGAAAATGACCGGCTTCCATTTGCAGTTTGCTCCGACTCAGAGGTCAGACACCTTGACCCTGACATGGTGCTCGTTAAGACGGTTGCCGTCGCTATCAACCCCTACGACTACAAGATGCCAACCCAGTTCCACTCACCTCGGACAACACCTGGCGTCGATTTTGCAGGGATCGTGGTTTGCAAAGGCTCGGCGGTTTCGGCGAGCATAGAGGTTGGAAGCCGCGTTTGTGGAATGGTCGGTGGCTCGAATCCAGGAGATGAGCTAATGGGTGCATTTGGACAATATGTGCCAGCCTATGAACACGCCCTACTGAGAATTCCAAAGTCAGTCAGCTGGGAAAATGCAGCGGCTCTCCCAAGTGCCGTTATAACTATTGGCGCCTCTTTGTTCAGTTCAAGTGGTCTGGGGTTGTCGGTGAATCCAGAAAGCCCTGCTCAGGATCCATTCTTCGTCCTTGTCTACGGCGGTAGCACATGCTGTGGAACGATGGCAATCCAGCTTCTCAAACAGTATGTCTCGTTAAAAAACTCATTAAACACATTCTGACGTAAAGGGGCAGATCAGGTCTCACCGTCGTGACGACATGCTCACCAGGGAATTTCTCACTCGTCAAATCATATGGCGCTGATGAAGTGTTTGACTATCATTCCCCCACGTGCGCTGAAGATATCAAGGCATATACAAAGAATCGTCTGAAATACGTTCTTGATGTCATCACTCAGGCTCGAACAACCCAAATCTGTTACAGTGCCATTGGACGAGCGGGTGGCAGATATATTGGCTTGGAGCTGATTAACAAATCATTTACGAGCGGCTTAAGGAGGACAGTGGACGCGGGTTGGATAAATTCACTAACTTTCTTGGGACGCGAAGTTTGCTTAGCTGAAGGGTATGAAAGTAAAGCCCGTCCTGACCACCAAGCATTTACGAAGAAGTGGCTTACCACAGCTCAAAACTTACTCGACAACGGCTCGCTAAGGTCCCATCCTCCAAGGGTAATGCCCAACGGGTTTGAAGCAGTCATTGACAGTGTGGAGAGAATCAGACGGCAAGAGGTATCGGGTCAGAAACTGGTCCATTTTATTTGATTGGTACTAGAATATAAGTCCTTGAACACTGAAGAGCAGAATACATCTGTTATTCTGTCCACTTAGGAATTGCCATATCCATTTATGCTCTTAGGTTTAGTGCATTCATGGATACCTCTAAAGGGATTATTTTGCTCATTGCTTCCTCCATCTACCCTACAATGCTCTTTATTCATCAATTGAGGCTTGCTCTGCCCTCTTCATAATCATAATCATCTATAAAATTACAACACTTCTTGAGTCTATTTTGAATTTTCCTGATAGCAACCATGGAGAATTTCACTGAAATCAGGAAACAGCTCTTCGGAAATGACAATTGAAAACGACTCATCCCTAAATTGAACACCGAGCGCCTGAATTCCCATGGAGTCAACTGTAAACCCATTTTATATGTCATTCGACGTCTGAGATACTGTATCAGGGAGCATGTTCAAGCCTAATCAGGCAGTACCGGGGGGCTCAGGGATATCCCGAGGGTCAATTGTGATATATCACAATTGATACCATAAGACCCCGGGCATGATGCCAGTACCCCTCACCTCGCTATATATACCTTTATCTAGTTAGATTAGGTATCAATATCAAGCGATGAAGCTTCAACTCACCCACATCTAGTCTATCCAGACACCCCCGAGCACGATCCTGCCAGACCGTGTTACAGATACATGTTCTGTACTTTTCTTACATCACCACACTACACTAGATTCTCAGCTAAAAACTATCGAAGTATTAAGTAGTATTATTACATTTTCCAATACTGCTACTATGATTGAAAAACTAGAAGCCCTATTTTGCGGCGAAAACTGCAGATGCAAATTGTATGGGAGAAGGAAACAAATCCCTAATAAGCTCTGAGTATGCTCATTTGTTATAAATTCCCTCTCAAGTCTAGCAGTAGATAGTCTGGCCAGAACAATCAACAATTCATGTTCCCAAACAGCGCTCAGCAGCTGTTTAATCGGCAGGTTACCAAGCTGATCTATGGTCAGGAGAACTCAGTGGCGATAGAACGACTGAAAAAGGCGTTCTCTAAGGAGAAGGACTTGCTGAAGAGCTTAATGACTTTAAAGTGAGTAATTTATAGAGTCAGAGTGAGAACTTTATTGATTAACATTGATAAGGATATTCTCACACTTGAAAGTCTGGTCAATTGAAACATGTTTAGTATTTTAGTTGAATGCAGTCTTTTTCATCAAGACTTGGCTCGTAACACTAATGAATTGTCACTCATACATATGATACACTTCTGCTGTGTTAACGCTCCATTGGGCTATGGTCTGTGTTTTGTGTAACAATAAATATGGTATTTGTTTATTTTTCTGTTTATAGCTGTCATTAATGCCGTGTAATCATAGTAGCTGCCTCATTACATGCAAACAGGTTTATCAACCAAGCATGATGTAATGCGTCTCCACAGATACATATTACTGCAGCGGCGGCACGCCGCCATAGCCAATATTTGCCATACAGATTGCGTTATGATTCCGTCCACGCGGGCGGGTGGATGTCAAAAGTTTTCCATTTGCATATCAATGCCTGAGCTCTCAAATGCAATCCCGGAAATGATCTTCTCCATTATTGGGATCATAAAAATATTTATTAGGGGCTTAGAAGCCTTTCATAGTCTCTTTTCAACAGTAAAATACATTAAAATTTAACGCCCATCATCATGGCTCAGAGATTAGAAGGTTTTCCTTCCTAGGACGATGAACTGGACATTTCTGCGTCCCTCGAGGGCGAGGTAGGGGATTTACTTCATAAATACGCTCACATAGAGCGTGAGAAGATGGAAGAACATGTCAGATATATTATCAGTCAAACTTTGAATCTTTCCCTTAGTCCCCAAGCCAAGTAGACTGACATCTCAATTATGTAGGCCAGGAAAGGTTAGGATGTCTTAAGATATCCATTGGCTCTTGGTGGTCCATTAGTAGGTTGCTGTCCCCACATGTGATTAGTGACTAGCATGTCCGTAACACTATCTAATTAGGGTTTCTAAGATGTTCCTAGATATTATAGAATTAAAAATTAAATGTTAAATATTTCCCGCAACTATATAAAGACGGTATCGTAGATGCGAGACTAGGTAAGTTAAATAGTGGCATAGCCGCAGAATAGTAAAACCAATAAACGTGGCCCCACTATCAATTTACCTCTCAGCTACTCCGTAGAGGCGAAACAACTAAGATCGACCGCTAAATTGATGACGCTAGTCTTTCGTTGAGGGGACAATAGTCAAGACTTCTGGTGAACAACAAACTACAATTAGATGGGGCTAGCGTGGTGCATTTTATTGAGGTGAACTTGTCGGTGAATGTGCAGAGAGGATCCACTGTTTATTTGTAATTCCTTAGTCATGTTAGAAACCTCTATAAATTGCCAGAACCAGGGGGAATAAAAAAGGGAGCATACATACATTCTGATTGGCCTGGGCTAGATAGCAAGGGACAGAACTGCTAACTTAGCTGCTCCCGCGCTTTAAGCAAGTCCTTAAGCTTATGTAATAATCAGATCGTGCTCAGTGAGCAAATCAGAGCGCTCAGGTGACGCTCAGTGAGCGAGTCATCCAGCTTATATAATGATCAGGTGATGCTCAGTGAGCCGAGGCTAGTGATTATGTAATAATCAGGGGCGTGCTCAGTTGTACTCAGTGAGCAAAAAGCGGCAAGGCCTAAGCACTAAAACGGAAAGGGAACGCCAAGAAGTGGCAGAGGAAATCAAGAACATAGGTACCCGTTTTTGAATGAGGCTGCAGCCTCAGGCTTCATATGAGCCAGAGGCGGTTAGCGTCTCTCTTCACGTTTGCTCAAAGTGACGCTTGGCCCAATTAAGACACTAGCTATATTTTACCACGGCGCAAGACTACATGCGAAATTTGTTTCTACTATTATTTAAAATAACTAAAGATACTATTAATTATAATCTATAAAATATATATTATAATTAGTTATATAAAACTAAAGGCTTCAGGGGGAAGGTGTCACAAGAATCGATAAACCACGACCAATGAATGTGATAGCAGACACTATTACATAATCAGCTAATAAGAAAGTATATAGATACTATATATACACACAATGTGTGTGAAAGACAGATATCAAATGAAGACTGCTTAGTGAACAACAATGAACAAGATTATTATTGAATACAATTAGATATTACAGAAATAAAGCTAAAAGTGGCTATACTTTCATCTAATCACAACTATTGATATAGTAATAATTAGTATTATAAATTAATACTTATTTCAGCATATATTTTAGCATATAATCTAATAAAATAGACACTTCTAAGCTTAAAAATAAGTAATTCTAAATATTAAAATAGAAGCTTTAATATCTCTAATATATATAGATATTTATTTATCATTATATATTTAATAATTATATTTTATATTTATACTTAAATAATATATTATTATTAATATCTTAACAACTTACTTTACTATTCTTATTTTATAATAAAATAGTTTTATTCAATATTATTTATAAGACTCTTTCACTATATTAATAGAATATTCTAAATAATTCTCTCTAATCTCAAACAAATCATTATAATATATTTTAACAATAAAATATCTTTATAATGAAAATTTAAAAGTTACTAAATAAATAATAATATCTAATACTAATAATACTTAGATTATTAATAAATAAACTAACAATGAATATTTATAATATTATAATATCTATATAAGAATATATTAATTAATTAAAAGTTTAGCTATTTATAAGTACTAAACTAAAATTATTAAAGATACTAATATTTATAATCTAAAATAGAAATCACTTAAAAACTAAAGATTTTCTTATATATATAGATATATAGATAGAAATTAATAAGATTAAAAGTAATATTAATAAAATTATCTATATTTTAAATTACTTTTATAGAAAAATATTAAAATAGATATAATTAATCTTTATAATAAATAAAAAGCGAACTAGGATATAATTATAAAAGAAGTTTTTTAAAACTATATTAGCTTTAAAAAATAATTTAGTCTTATATTTAAAAATTATAATAAAGCATGAACTATAGAATAATAATTATAATAAATAAGATAAACTAAATCTATATAATAGTTAATTATATAATTTAAATAAATTATTATAACTTTAAGATATGATAACAATATATAAATTATAATATTTAAAAATATTTTATTTAAAAAAATATATTAATATAAAAATTAATTATAATATATATAATAAAGAATTACTAATTATTATTATAATATTTTAATAATAGTAATACTATCTCTAAAGATTAGATTATAAAATAATTATAAAAAGTAATTATTATAATTTAAAATACTTTATAATTATTAAAAAATTATTAAAAAGGCAAATGTAATAATATAAAGAATTATTATAATATACTTATAGGATTAAATATATATTAAAAAAGTAGAATATTATTATAGATATATTAAATAGATAGTTAAACTATATAATTAATATTAAAATATTAAGAACTAATATTCTATAATAAGAATCTAATATATTATAATATAATTATAAAGTAATATTAATAATTACTTAATAAATTATTTATATTACTATTTTAAAATAGTAAAATAACTAACATTAAAAGGCTATAATAGATAAGAAAAATATAAAAGCATATAGATTAAAATAAAATTATTCTTAATATATATATATAATTAAATTTTATAATTAAATAATTTTTATAGCTATTAAGAATAAATATATGATATCTTTTTATTATATATCTATTCATAAAAGGAATAAAATAATTAATAAATTAAGCTATATTAATCTTATCTATTATCTATCTATTATCTATCTATTATCACTAATATAGATTTTTTAATTATTTAGAAGAAATCTCAAATTAGACTTTTTATAAGTATTTCTTTATTTTAAAAATTATATATAATAGTAGAGTCTATATAATAGAATTAATTATTTTAATTATAATTATCTCTTTTTAATTACTAAACTATAATAGATATAATCTACTATATTAATCATTTTCTATTATAATCTTTACAGTTATATAGATATCTATAATAAAGCTAATCTTATTAAAGTTATAAATATCTTTTGATAA